ATATAACAATGGCCAGTTTCCTTAACATAAGTATATATATATATATATATATATTATAAACTTTTTGAAACTAAAATTTAACTAAAACTAATAAGAAACATTCAAATTTTACTTTAGTTTAATAGTAGGACTACTTGAGTTTGTGACTGAACAATTGGATTAAAAGTTTTGTAAAATTACTGAAAAACACAAAATTCTACTTCTAACTTTGAATTAAATTTTCATGTTGATAATCTTAGAAAAGAGAAGAGGATGGAATAAATTTTGGATCATCCAATGAAGAACTCACCCACTAGAAAAGGTTGCTTCATTGTTTCCATTAGACTTTTCAGATCATGCTCGACATACTCCATAACTATATAAATCTTGTCCATGTTACTGCCAACAACTATTTCCTATAGAGGAAAGGGAGAAAGAAACACTAAGCTATTACCAGAAAAAAATGTGAAAACACTGACCAGAAATGATTATTTAAAATAGTTGTTAATGTGAAAATCAATTATTCAACAGATTACGTAGATAATGTGTTATCTAAGGTGATCCATTTAAATGCCAAAATAATTGTTTCATTTTTCAAAAAACATTAATAATTTGCGAACTACCTAGATTACCTGCACATTATCTACTGGGCTTTCGCTGAAGAGCGAATAAGATTTATCTTTGTTGTTTCTTGTTAGATTTATCTTGTATAAAGCACCAACGTTTCTGTATGCTTAAAGTAACATAGCGTTATTGATTTATTTTTCGTTATCTAAAAAATTCTAATCACTACAATCAACACACTAATTAATCGAATCAATTATCAAGTATTTTTAAAATCTCTTATAAAGAATCAAATGGTTAAAAATATTATTACAATTAAACAAATTAATATAATAATATTAATTTATTTTTCAATATATCCATAGAATCAAGACAATAAATACAATCAAACAATCTAAAGAAGAAGTTAAAAGAATGAGATAAACTATTTTTTTAAATTTAACGATTCGGAAACAGTTAATGAACTTATTATCTAGAGGCACATTGCAGATTCTGCACTTCAACAAACTACTCTAGTTAATTTGCAGATTATTTAGGTAATGTGCATATTAAGGACTTCCAGGCTTTGACATAGAAATTTTATCTTTAGAACTGTTCTTCTATTAAAAAAAAAACATGATTTAAGTTGCAAGTAAGAAGAAAAAAGTGAAGAACAAAATTGTACCCCTATTTAGTGTTTAAATAGGGTTAGATAAACAGCCTTTATTGCGGGTATGTTTTCAAGTTACAAAAATTGCGATTCAATTGGTGAAAATTGTATTGATTATAAAATGATAATGGGTATTTTCATAATTAAAATGTCAAAAAGAATAGGGTAGTTTATTTCTTGAGAAATACAAAAATGAAACTTACACGAACAACTACTATATTAGGGTGTTGAGCTTTCAATAATGTATTAATTTCTCTCAGAGATGTGATTGGAAACCCTTCTTTTTCCTTTTCCATTTTCAACCTCTTCAAGGCGACTATTTCATCTGAAAAAAATAAAACCAAATACTAAATGACGATTGCAAATAACACTTATTTTATCCGCTTATTTACAAAACAAACAAATTGCTGTCTTTATATGCTGCAATTAACATCGTTTTTTATTTGATTAACTGTCAAAAGGTATCCTGTAGCAAATGTCTTTGCCAATGGTTCTACAGAAAAAAGAATGTTTATTTCATCATGTTTTATTATTCTTTATTTAAAGTTCGTTTTTATTCTGAAGTTCTCATGTTCAACATATTAAATTAATTTTTAAAACAATCTCGTATTCATTTCCTACCCTTAGATAGAAAATGTTAAGATATGCTCAGAAGTAAAATTTTAACAAGTGCCAAACTAACTTGTTCGTTTATCTTTTGCACGATACACCACACCGTATGTTCCTTCCTCAATTCGATTCAAACAACTGAACTCTTCAACACTTCTACAGCCCTGAATGGCAGGCAAATAAGTTGGAAGAGTGATTTTCACTTCTGTTGGAGCTTCTACTTTAACCGGGATCGGATTTGGAACAGCTGGTTCAACTGGCTTTGCTTCCGATTTAGTTTGTTCATCCGCTTCTTCTTCTTCTTCTTCATCTTCTTCAGATGCAGCATCTGGAGAGTAAAAATAATTATATAAATAAACAGTTTTTTTTTAAAAGTAAATTTTACAATTAAACATTTACTTTAAAAAAGCAAAATCATTAAAAGTCAACCATCATTTTTAAATAGCTATTCAGGGTAAAGTTATTTAGAAAAAATAAACTAAATATAGTTTACGCTGAAAAATGGCAAATAGTTTCTCCAAACATTTGAGAAATTTAAAAAAATCTGAGGTACCCATCAAAAATGGTAAAAACAGAAAAATTATAAAATTATATATTAAAAAAAAAATCAAAAAAGTTTAATTTTTAAAACAAATCTCGTATTCATTTCCTACCCTTAGATAGAAAATGTTAATGTAATGTTGGTTCCCCAAAACTTATTTTTATTTATTTAAATATTTTATATTCTAATTAATTAATTTAATTTAATTTGAATTTAATGGATTTAGAATTTTTTAATGGATTTAAAAAAAAAATCATAATAAAATGCACCATATAAATTACAGATGCTCCTATTTAAGAATCTTTCATTACACATAATACAAAAACATATTTCAAGCATTACTAGGGATTTATATTAATCAATGCTTAAAGCAATAATACTTAAAGTAGCAAAAATCTAAACACTAAGTACCAGATGATTCATCATCAGCACCCTCATCATCATCTTCTTCATCTTCTCCTTTTGAATTGTGACTGGAAGCTAAAAAATATCATTGAAAAATCTGATTTTGTAATAAAAAAATTTTTTGCCGATCTTAAAACAAAAAATATAACTATAATAGTTTTACCTAAAACAGCATCTGTAAAATGATATTAAGTGGTAAAAAAAATTAAGAGAAAAAAGTATATGGTTCAGAATAAGCAAAATAAAAGTTTAAAAAAATTGAATTTTCATACTAGGAAATGAAATATTTCTTACATAACACAATTCTTAAAATTTTCTAATCTATCTATACAAACTATTTTTTGTAGAACATTTATTGATTTAATTACCGAATGAATAATTTAAAAAAAATTATGGCTGAATTATGTAAAAATTGTGTTCTGAAACCAAAAGAAGAAAAAAAAATGAAATTTAACAAACGTTTTAGATCTACAAAATTTGTACACAGTTATGGTTCATGCTCGGAAATACTGTTTAAAGGTTTTTTGTTAATAAACAAATAAAAGGAAACATCAGGAATTATTTTGGCAAAAATTTAAGTAAAAAAAAAGAAAAAGATTTTTATGATTTTGCTGGAAAGCGCAAGTTTCATTTTGAGTAAAGTTTAATCCAAGCTTGTTTGAATAGCACCATTTATTCTAAACTTTCTACTGATAATTCATAAAATTCCTTTCCATTTCACCAGGTTACTTTTTTACATAGAAAATCAGGTGTGAGAATTTATTTTGGTAATAAAGTTGGAGTGAAAAAATATAGATGGAGCACTTTAATAATTCAATGCTATTTACTGCTCACTAGAAAAATATCTTTTCTCGAATGTGTTCAATGATTTTCCTTTATATTGTGAGCTTTAGTCAATACTTTCAAGCACAAAATATTTCAAACTATTGAGATATTATTAAAGAAAAAATAGTATTTTAATGAAATGAGTTGAATGGGAACTGAAAGTATAGCTGTAAAACATTAAATGCTTTTCTCAGAATTACTTTCAAAAAATAAAACATTCTACTTTGTCATATCTTATAATTCAACTGTAATTTAAATTACAGTCTGAAAAAGTTAAACAAAAAAAAAATAATAATAATAAAAATATAATTTTTTGCTTTACTTAATACCACTATCTGTAAATAGATATAATGCACAACACTTGATTAGATTTTTTTAAACTACTGAATTAGTATAGGAGAAGCATCGAGAGTCACACATGCCCCCTCAATAATTTTACAAGACTTCAGAATTTTTTTTGAAGTTATTGTGCCATTTATAGGAGCCTTGAAATGTGTTCGTTGAAGTGAGATCATCCCTGTGTGTGTTGGTGAAAATAAAATGAGCATTTTATGTATTAGAGTCCACGAGAGTGTTTGTATAGGAGTGAAATGGGATTTCATACTGAGCGGGCCAAAACAGTTATTACTTTTATAAAACACCAACAAAAAAAACTATTTTTAATGTAATAAAAAATTTATAACTTCATATAGTTCATCATTAATTTAACAAAATAATTCTATGTTTATTACTTTTACGAAAGTGTAAGTTACTAAAAATCATTTAATGATTTTTTTAAACAAACTATTTTGATTTTTTCTTAACGGTTTCAAGAGAAGTTTATAACTGTGGTTACTAGTGAGGTAATTTAGTTTCATTTATACACGTTATAATTTTTTAATTAAAAATATTTCCTATTAACATTTTGCAATAACTTTTAAAGACACTGTTTTCTTTTTGTATGTTATTTGTAACAACTTAACTTATTTTTGTTTTATAGCATTAAATAACTTCCAGTCTGTTTTAAACTTTAAATTTATATTCTAATTTCTTTCAAGTATAAATTTCTGGGTATAATTTGATAGAATAGTAATGCTTAAGATTCCGGTAATATGATTCCATTTCATACTGAATCTTTTTTTTTTCATTACTGATTGTATTTAAAAAATGCAGCATAGAAATTTTTGGCATGTTTCAATAGAATGTGTGCTGAGTTATTTTATTTGATTATCAAATAACTTTTTAAAACCTAGCACCGGACTTGGAAAACCTAAATACATTAAAGTATTGAAACGTGACATGCTATTGCTGATAGTAAAAATGCTATTTTTTTAGATTTGAAAGGAAATCTCATCTCAATTAATTATATTATTAATTAATTATCCCAACAAGAAATTATAATTCAAGAAATATATGTTTTTTTATTCACTTACATCTTTAGTATTTATTAAATTTACACAAAACATCTCCTTGTTGCTTTTATTAAAAAAAAAAAAAAAATAGTTTTACGAAAGGCTTCAATGAAACATATTTTTTATTAAGAAATATTTTATTTTAACAATGTACATCAAAATCAGCTTAGTGCTATTTAAAAAAAAATTTATAGGAGATTTAGAGGGTAAGATCATCTAGGCATTTGATAGAGTAATTTATTTTTATTTATCAATTTTATTTGTTACTTGTAAGGGTTGAAGATTATGGTTACTTTAAGATATCTTAACTTTTATACAAATTTAAAAAAATTTTTCTATGGAGTTCATTTCAATTACTTATTTTAGATACACCGTTTTCTTTTGTATCGGATAAAGCTTATAATACCGTTTAATTAGGATAAATTGAATACATTTCAAATTTAATGTAAACTGAAAAATATTTTGAATGAAGGTTTTGACTGTTAGATTATTTTATATAGTTTTTTTTCCTTCCCTTTTCACCAGCAATAACTTCTTACACTCTTTAATTTTTAAAAAATTGAATGCATGTTTAATTTTTTTACAAATTAAAAGAATATTTTGGACAGAGGAAATTGTGATTTAGTAATTTCATATACTCTTTCCTTTTTTACATTTCTTTTGAAATCAAACATAGATTATAATATAGTTTTGATTAATTATTTCATCTGTTTTATTTTCTTTTTTCATTTGCATCAAATACAGTTAAAAACCTAGTACAGTTTTAATTTTTATATATATTGAAAGAATATTTGAGATAGATGTGGTCCAAATAACTAATTTCCTACACCTCATCTCACCTCTTCTCAGACATACCTTATAACACAGTTTTAATAACTTATCTTACCTGCTCTCAATTTTTCATTTGCATCAGATATAGCTTAGAATAGCATTTAATTTTGGTAAATAAATACTTTCTTAATTTCTATAAAAAATTAATAGAATAATTTGGGTAGGGGAGATTTTAATAACTAATTTTATATATTCGTCCTTTTTTTTTTTGCTTCAGTGACAGTTTATGGCATCATTTAATTTCAATAATAAAGTACATAAGCATCCTAAGTCTTTACCTTAATTTTTGTACTGTGTCTAATTGCTATTAAGACTAACTAATATAAGAAATTTAATTATAATAATATTAAAATAATTATTAATAACTTTAATACCCGGTGAGGAAATGGTAGTTTCATCACTGTAGAAAAAACAGAACTTATGTGACAGTATCATGTACTTAGAAAACATTTTATATGTTGAGGTGGTTAAAAGATAATATACACCAATACCATATTAAGGACATCAAATTTTTTTTAAAAAAAATGAAAAATTAAAGAAAATAAATACCTGATTTTTGTGATAATGGCTCTTGTTGAACTGTAAAATAAATTAGTAAATTTTGGATATTGAACGAGCTTAAGTAGTATAAGATAATATACTACTTAAGATCCTAAATTGATATTAAAATAAGTTTAAAAAAGCAAGTCAAGATGCAACTCAATTTATTTTTATTTTAAACATCACTCAAAATATAATCTATAATTAAATATTAATAAAAAAGAAAACAAATTTTTAAGCTAAGTTTTTTATTAAAATCTAAACTTCATGATTGATTTTTTTTTATAAACAAATTAAGTCAAAAATACTTTTCTTAATTAGGAAAATTAATAAATACTTCAAGGTTGTCCTTTTTTCTTTAAAAAAAAAGTTTGGCTTCAATAATATTTTATTCGGAGAAAAAATGATCAAGGGTAATGCATGCATATATTTATTTGATATTTAAAATAAACTAAATAATAAAATTAAAAAAATATAAATAAATAAATAAAATAAATGTACAGTCCGAAAAAAAAAGATATCACCCTGAATAACTTTTGTTTTAATGATCAGATTTTCACGAACTAAGTGTCAATCTTAATGGTTCCTGGGGGTGACCTCAAATATGCTAATTAACCAGACACAAAAACATACTTTCTCTGAATAAACATACATATATATATTTTTTTTTTACATATTTGGATTCCTTATCTTCAAAATGTAGGGGGTAGCCGCAATCAGGGAAATGTGGTCCCCATAGTTTGCCCAGGAGAGCGATTCAAAGTTTGGAAACCTTAATGTTAATTATGCTTTTTCAGTCATATTTTAAAAACTAGTGAAGTAATTCAAAAAAATTTTTCACTCACTCATAAAACTCATTTACCCAAAGATAATTTCATTAAAAAAATAATTTTTAATAATTATTTATTATTATTTAATTACAGTGAGGACGAGAAAATGTTGAATTATAAGGTATGGATTTTTTTATACCATATTAATCTACATATTTTTCAATTGAAAAATCTAAAGTTTCAACTGTTTTTATTTATTAGAAGGTGAGAAGGTGTTATTTATTAAAAGGTGAGTTACTTAAAAAAATAATAATTTGGCGACAATGAAAAAATGATTAAATCCGGTGATTAATATTAAAATATGATAAACTTACGAGGAACTTGACTTAGCGCGCGTAACATAAAATTTAATTCATATATTTTTTTCGCTAATAATCGTTTGCTAATCTTTTTATTTTTATTTCTTTAAAACTATAAATTACGATGTTTTTTTTTTTAGTTGTCTAAAATTCTATTTGCAATTTAGTAAAGAAATTTGTATAAAACATTTTATTGAATAAAAAACATTTTATTCAACGAAGGTCGAGTTTTATAAAAGCATGCTTCTGATCTAATATGATTATACACCAGATTGTGCTTATTTAATGTGATTATTTTTTAGTTTTTTTTTCTGAATAGCTGATACAATTTCAATAATATACATGCGTATGAATAGATTTGGAATAAAATATTTATCAATTTCTTGAATATATTTTTTATAAATATAATCATAAAAATCCATAGTAAACATATTTAAGCATATCTCACATCATCGCAAATTTCTCAACATCTTATATATCGTCTTAATCTTAAAAGTAATTTTTTAATCACCTGTCCGGAAGTGTTTCTCAGAACTATTTAATTAAATTTTAACGTTTTTAAAAATTTTATTCTTTACCCAACTACGTTTATTATTTCTTCATTAATATACTAATCAATTTTTTTAGTACTTAGGTTTTCCTTAAAGTAAAGTTCCTTTTTAAATTATAGTCAAGTTTTTTTTAAAAGAATTATTGTCTGCCAGCTAAGAATAAAACTTTGTTAAGAAATTAAATATATTCCGCTGTTTAAAATCATTTAATGCAAAACAGCTGATTATTTACTAAGCATAATATTTTTTTCGAAAAAAGAATATAAATCATTGATTATCTTTTTTTTTGTTTTGTTTCTTGTGGCTTCAACATAGATTATCTAAAATAGTGCTGATGTTTTAGAAGTCACTACAAAGAGTATAAAGATACCGAACTTAAAAAGCTGACGAATACATAGCAAAAAATTTTAAGCGCCTTAAAATATCTCAGTATCTTAAATGTCCTAACATCTTAGTTATGAAATTAAATTTTTAATTATCTGACCACGTGTGATTCACTAATTATTTCATTATATCTTTTACTCCTTCTTTATGATTCCATGTAGATTTTTTTCTGGATAATATACTAAACTATTTTGTTTAATATTTTTCTTTAGCACGATTCCCTAAACATTATTGTAGTATAATTTGTTATCAGGAAAAATGCATTATTTTGTTAAGCAGGAAATACTAAAAATTGAATATTGTAAGAAGATTCCAAAGCCGTGCCAATTTTAGAATAATCTGATTTAAAAAATAAAAAAAATGCAATAAAAAATACGCAATTTCCGAACTTATTTTGATTAAAAATATTTTTAAAAAAAAACATAGCAAGAAGGCTAACATACTTTTTACAGAAACTGTGAAAAACAATTTTTCCTATATTTCGTCAAAAGAGAATAAGAATGATATTGCTCCAAGGGACCTACTCAATAATTTCGTTATTTCCAGAATGAAATCTGTTTGATCGAAACATATTTCCTTGAAAATTAAAACGAGGAAAAAATTAACTTTTATTATTTATCTAAGCTTATTCCATTTATTTAATGATGGCGGTATCAAGGTTAAGGATATGCGATTGAAGCCCCGTTTACTATTATAGAATAAATGCATTAAATCATGTAGCTTGAATAATTTATTTTAAGCAAATCATTTAATAATTTTAAGTAAATAAGGGTGTAAAAATAAACTCCATCAAAATATTCTGAAAGTATACCCTAAAATATATTTAGAATAAACTTGGGAATAGATATATAAAAAATACCTTTTCAAACAACTTCGAGTAGGTCGGAAACGCTAACTTGTTTGAAATAGTTGTCCTTGTAAGTATTTAACTTCGATTCCTGGTGCTAGGGGACATTCCATTTTCACATTCGACTCTTGAAATTTCAATTGTAAACTGAATTTTTTTATGTCCTTAAATTAAAATGTTAAGGCTTGCAGCAAAAAAAATTTTACTGCATTATTTTTTTTCAAAGTAGTGAATTATTATTTTTTCAATCTAAGAACCTGTGCCTATAACTTATGTAAAACTTATTTTTAACCTTACCGAGTAACTATTAATTAAACCTCACCGAGACATTATTTCAAATTTTTTTCAGTCATTGCTTGGTTGCTCAGCAACATTGTAAAATTAAGCATTCTTTTTTTGAATTAGTCATTGGTTTACCTTAAAATATTAATTTGCGCTGGCGACTTTCTTTGGCAGTTTTCTGGACTATCGCCAAATATATAAACCTTTATTATGACCAAATTTATGACTCAATTGTCTGAATTCCAAATATGTAAAAAAATATATATATGTTTATTCAGAGACAGTAAGTTTTTGTGTCTGATTTCGTAACTTAATTAATACTTAGCACTAATTAATTAACATATTTGAGGTCCCCCTCAGGAACCATTAAGATTGACACTTAGTTCGTGAAAATCCGATCATTAGAACAAAAGTTATTCAGGGTGATATCGTTTTTTTTTGCGTACTGTACATTATATGAATTTTTTAAATTATAACGTTCGCGTAGCTGCACGCAAAATAATTTTATATTCGAAAATATATTTAAATTATATCAAATTTACATTCACTTAAATATAAATACTGTTTATATTGATTTTTTTCCATTTTGTGATCTAAATTAAATAATTGTTCATTTGATATCTAACTGACAAAAAACTTAAATTAATTTTCACAGTAATTTAAATTATATAAAAATTTTTGTAACGGTTATTTATTTATTTCTGAGAATTTGCGCCATGTGTAGGATGACTTGATTAAAAAGGTAAAGATCATAAGAAATTAAAGTAAAATTTAATTTTGGATAAAATGTTTTTTTTTTTTACTAAGATAAAGAGTAAACAAACAATATTTAAAATGATTAAATAAAAAAATATTATCGGTAAAAAAATTAACGAGTGTAGTCAAACAAGAATATCTAAATCTGTGGCCCCAAATCACCATCAGATAAATAACAAATTTATCACAAGTCCACATAAAAATAACTTTATGATTGCAAAGCTAAGAAAAACAAATTACAAAAAGCAAGACACTTACAAATCTGCCTAATAAAATATTATTTATTTGTTTTTTTAAATGTGAAGAACCTTTAATAGATTTTCTTTAAACCCTTTAAAGGTGTTTTATTACTTAGAAATGTTTCATGGCCAAGAAAATTATTTGAAATTTTACCTTCACTTTCACTTGCTGTATCACTTCCTGAATCACTCTCTGTTCCATCTTTATCTTCCTTTTCATCACTATTCTCATCACTTTCATCTTCATCTACTTTATCTTCTTCATAATCCATGGGTTCTTCATCCACAAATGGTTCTGGTAAAACAATAAAAATAAATAAAAAGAACTAAACTTCATTTTAAATGCTGAATTCTTTTTTATTTATAAACTTTAAATTCTTATGACTTGATGTAAAATAAGATTTGCTCTCATTTTTTTACACCTTACATAAAAACCTAGAAAACAAAATCTTATGCAAAGAATTCGATAATAAGAAATGAGTCAGTAACTTACCTCACTACTATTGGATTTAAAATTTAACTTAATAATCCAGAATGACTAAACTTTCATCAAATAAACTTATCATGGGATGTTATTGTAACACTTTTACATTTTCAAAGATTACACATATTACATTTTATCACTTATCACAAATTAGTGAGATCTTGGGAAAGTGTACAACTGTCGGGAAAATAAAATTGTCTGCTGGTGTCTTTTTTGAGAAAAAAAACACACTATTTGAGAGACTGAATGCAGCAAACTATTTTAAATAAATTAATATAATGATGACTTAATACAGTTGAACCTTTTTACCTTGAACCTCTAAATGTCGAAAACCTCTTTATCTCAAAATTTCTATAATTCCCTACATTTACTATCTAAACTCAATGTATTTTTCATGTTTACGTCAAAAAAAAAAAATTTTTCTTCTAAAAACCTCCTTTCCTCGTATTTCTAATAGTAGAGCACAAATGTCAAAACTTTCTTTATCAGTAGAACTTGCAGACAGAGAAGAATTTAATGAATCCACAGGAAGTAGAGATGAACAGGTTGGGGGTGTTTCTTGGAATTTCAATCACTATCCCTGCACTTCCTTAACGATAGAAAGGAATACAATGATTCTGGCAGTAAGTGAGAGGTTAATGAGTAGTGACCATAGCTTTTCAACATAGATAAGAAAGCTAAGAATAGAAATTCATTTTCACCTCAAAATTGCAACCAATGGATCAAAGGATAATTAGGAGTTTTAAAGTGAACTATATAAAACAGTAGGTACACAAATTTGTAGATGCTGTTAATAAAAAAAAGTTCTCTTCTAAAAATAAAGATGTTACGATGCTATCAGAATTACTGTTTTGCCTGGAGAAATGTGTCTCTAAAAACTATCCAAAATGGCTTTAAGAATAGCTCTGAAGATGATGAACAAAATGGAATGCAATAAAATCTGGATTTAATGTTGACATTAATTTTGAAGATTTTTACAAGTGGACACGACAGATACGGAACATTAACAGATGAGGTAATCATAGATGATGTCAAAAGAATATCAGATGAAGAAACTGAAGGTCATGTTGATGAACTAAAATTGAATGTAAAGCTGCAGAATTCTTATAAACTATTCTTGAATCCCAGGTAAATGTTGGCTATGAGAGATTTGCGTTCTTTCTAACCTTAAAAGAATAATCGAAACAAATAAGGTTATACGTCAAAAATCTTTGAAATTTTTTTTTCAGTGTTAAATGTATGTTAAAAAAATGTTATGTGAATAGATAGATGTATGTGGTATAATTAATTTACAGAAATGCCTACATTTTTCTACTAAAAACATCTAAAACACTTCTATAAGAATTTCTTAATTAAATTTAATTTTAAAGTGTCCATATAACTCGAAACCTCTTTATCTCAAATTTTGCGCCTCTACCGCGAGATTCGAGATAAACAGGTTTGACTGTACATAATCAGAAAATTATGTTAATATTTGTTTGAAATTAAATCATTAAAATATGTACTTTCAATATGTTAAACGAAAGAAGATCTAATAAAAGTTTGTTTTAAATGATGCATATACAATGATTAGAAATGACTTGTTACACAATTCACACAAATTAACAAGTAGTCACCCCTGCACAAAACTTCTTTTTTAACCTTTCTTAATCTGAATATCTTAAATACACATTTTTTCAAATCAAGTTGTATCATTGAAAGCATTAATTTAATAATTAACAAAAATTACTAAATTAATAATTATAATGTAAACTAATTAAACCTGGTGTAATATGAAGTTCTTTCTCTTTTCTTTCTTCAGTCACCGCAGATGGCGCATCCTTTGATTCCTTAGGTGGACTACGAAATCTTTCTAAACGTCTTTCCCTTTCTTGATGGAGCCTTTCTTTCTCTCTAAGTTTTTCACGCAGATCTCTACCGCTAGATAAGTTATCTAAACATGAAGTAATAATACACCTCAAACATTTTTCACAGTCAGACAGAAAAAAAACAGCATAAATCATAGGTCAATTTCCCCGGAACTTAAAAGTCTTACAACATGTTTATCAGGTCTTCAGTAAATATCCTCAAATTATTTTAATCTCATGCTTAAGACAGTAATTTTGTTATCAATTTAAATATTTATGAAAAAATCTCTGACTATAAGCAGCTATTAAGATCTCAACAAAATGTTTATTAAAAATATTCCTGACTTTTTTTATTTGAATTAAACTTCTTTCATTTACTTAACCATTTTTTTTTCAATTGATATATATTAATGAAAAATACTTAAATTTTATAATCAATCTTTCAAATTAACTATTAGCCTAAGAGTCTATTTTAGTATCCTATGTCTATTCCGGCACAAAGTTTAAATACTTCTATTGGCACTAAAAAGCATTACTCGTAATTTATTAATACCTAAAATTTTTTTTAATGAATGTTCTTTAAAAATAAAAATGCTAAAACTTAGCAAAACAGAAGGAAAAAAAAGAAGAAAATCAGTGATATTTTCAGAAAACAGCTGGTTTAGATATTTATAATAATGATTTGAAAAAAAAAAGTAAGGAAGTAAAAGGTATAAAAAAATTCACATAAACTGATATTCATTTCTAGATTCACTTAATATTGTTTGGTTTTAATCATAATTTAAGGTTACGAACTCAGAAATAATTAATGAAAAATACTTCATTTTTTTTATACAATCAATATTTCAAATGAATTATTTGCCTAAGTGGTTTTAAAAAATACATTATAATACTGATAGCTACCTTCCATGCATTATAAGATATATATCTTCTTTTTGATTTTTTTGTATGCTCTAAAAACATATGATTTTAATTTTCTATCATTAATTGCATCATGCATGAAGAGTAAAAAAAAAAGCATATGGTCAATTAACTGAGAAAAATAATCATGCCATCAGATCTAAAAATATATGTGCAAAAGATGCACCCGATATTAAATTTTACCCCCAATTTCATTCCCTGATGATGGAGGTTAATTTCAAAATCTCAAATAGACTCTTCCCTCATATTTTGTTGCACACTTGGATTTTCCAGAAAAAAACTTCTGAATTTAAAATACAGGCCTTATGATTCCCATGTGGTGCTGTATTCTCCCAAATATTGACATTTGACTATTTTGATTATGTAACCACATCACCAAATTATGCAATTTGGAAAAATGGGGCAGACAATAGTTTGCATTAAACATAATGAGACATAAAACTTTTTTTCTTATAAATTTCTAAAAATTTAAAAGTTGCTGATAATAGTATTGAAAGCATCTTAAAATTGTGGCTTCATCAAAGACTCATCACATCGAACGTCATCTTCATTAAAATACAACGCGGCTGGAAGAAACCGAAATCTCTCAAGATGCAAATCAGCTTCCCCGGACTGATGTCTTTTCACTTACTCTGATGATAGACTTTATTTTGCAAAACTCTTTTTAGTATTTTAGTTGTTTTTGAAGGAAATAAACCAAGTTATAGTTATAAAAATGCCTGGTATCTTCTACATACTTCCAAACACTAAAAAATTAACATAAATACAATATTAAAAAAAAAAAATTACAGTAAATATGCATATTTGCATGCAAGTTGGAAAAAATCAAACTACATATTTTTAATTACACTTACCATCCCTTATCCAAGACCTGTCAAGCTGTGTCTTATTTTCTTCACGTTTTTTTTCCATGAAAAGTAAGCGCTTCTGTCTCCACTCTTTCTTTTTTTCTTCAAAGCTATCTCTAAAATCATAAATAAAATTACATTTGATACTGAAATTCAAATTTTAACTAAAACTTAAATGCAAGTTTTTAGTAAAAACAACAATCAACAGGAATAATAGGTCCAATAAATGATCACATTCTTTTACTTTTCCTTACATTTTTTTTTTACTTTCACTAAAATATTACTCATTATTGCTTATAATAATACCTGAGTTCACAATGATAAAGTATTTGCAAACTAGAACATAATTTAAAAAAAAAGAAACACTCCAGAATTACAAAAAATTAAGAAAGATTAATGTGAAATAAATTTCCATTCCTCAAATGTAATTACAGTAATGAATACAGTAAGTATTAGGGTAATGTTAGACCCATTAAGTTAGATAAGAAGAATATAATCTAAATATTAGATTGTAAATATGTTCATATTATACATATGGGTGAAATGCACGTATCAGGGTATGAAAATAGACGCCACGAGTCATTTATATCTGGCAAGCCTGAGAATGAATGCATATTTTTTAACGTTTGAAATGTGAGCTTTTATAACCATCTTTATATATTTTTTTTAATTAATGTTACATGCGCTTCAAAATAGACGCCCATTCTTGAGATTTTTCATACATAAATGAAGAAAACAAAAGTGATTCGAAAGAGAAAATGTATGGTTGCTAATGAAAAATCGAAAATAAATCCGAAAAACAAAACTACGACAACCACTGTAGCCGAAAGTAAAGATTAACATAAACAATTGGCTATTGCCACAGATTATTGAAATCTTGAGCATAAATTCACTTATTGCAATGCAAATTTTTTTTCCGCCCCTGGCCTCTCAGATCTTATTGATTCTCTTGAATCTTGTTTTATTCATACGACTGCCGACTCCCTCTTTAAGGACACGAGTTTTTCACTATCTGTTCATAGCATGAGGATTTATTTATCCAGATTTATCTGTCACTGAGGTTTCTCTACTTTTGCTTTTTCACCTCCAATTTCCATTTTTTGCAAACTTTACAATCTTTTTACAACTTTAAATTCTTTTTCCTCGAGTCACTTTCATTTTCCTCAATCATGTCAGGTGAGTCTTGAGAGCAGAGACCCATTTTTAATAAACATACCAACTTTTATTACCTTCTTCATATTTTTTGAAGCTATTGAAGATTTTATCATCAAGTTTACTGTGCTACATTTAGATCTTCATCTCTATTTGGATCAGAATCTTATGCTTGTAGAAGCAAATATCTACACTTTAACAGAGTTCATGCAGTTCTTAAAACCATAAAAAAAAAACTATAGCATCAATATTGCAATAATCTTTAACTTTAAAATTTCGAAATTTAAGTTTTTACAACCAGATAGAATTAATGAAATTAAATATTGTGGTGAACATAAACATAGCCTTTTATCTTCTTATCCTATCTATCTTTGACAAATATATGTATATACATACATACAAATATACAAACATGTAATGATGGTTAGAACATTGCAAAACAAGTTGGTAAATGTAAATAAAGGATTTAAACAAAAAATTATAGTAGCAATAGTTGGTGAAAAATGTAGTTGATTGTAATTAAAGAACATATTGAGCAATATTTTATTTTTGACGGCAAATTGTCGAAAATTTGCTTCAGAATATAAAGAAACATGAGAATGCTATTTGCAAATTATCCTGATCCAGAGAAAACCATGTAACTTAAATATTTTGAAGAATAAAGTCATTATTTAAATAATGAATAATACAATATCCAACATATTATTACAGCATGTTATTCTTAAACATAACACATTTCAATGCTTTTAAAATGCCGCTTAACATTCACTAATTTCCTCAATTATTAAAAAAAAAAATTTAAAATATATAAAACTTTTGTAAGTATATTATAATTATTATCTCTTCCAAAACCTCTGAATTTTTTTTTTTTGGGGGGGGGCCTTTTTTTTTTACTTCTTTGTCTAGGAGACTCGATTGAAAGTGTAAAAATGATTAGCCTTACAACTCAGCAATGATTTATATAAATTTGGTATATTTTTTATTTAAATTCATTATACTTCATTTACATGAAATCTTCATATAAATTAAATTAAAACAATGTAAAAATCACGAATATCAAAAAAAGTTTACATGTTTAAATTCTGTAAAATTATAAATAATTTTGTAAAGTGATTCAAATATTATTTTTAAAGGGTATTTGCTTTTTGACGCCCGGTGGCTGAGCGGTAGCGATTCGCGCTGTCGTGCCACAGGTCCCTGGTTCGATCCTGGGGCCGGGCAAGGTTGACTCAGCCTTTCATCCCTTCAGTGGGTCGATAAATGAGTACCAAGCATGCTTGGGAACTAAACATTGGGGGTTCCGCATTCGGCTGACCACCTGACCAGAACATCTGCTCGTGCACACCAGAGCCCAAGGTCAAGAAAACTGAGATGGGCACAGTAGGCCTTGGCCCTCTATGGGCTGTCGCGCCACTGAGTTTAGTTTATTTGCCTTTTAGTTGGAACGCACCACAAATAAGGTCTGTTGCATAGAAACTTCAAAATATTTTCGATTAACTATTAATAAAAATCTTTTCTGAACTATGAATGAAAAAGTTTCAATTTTCATTTCATTCTTTTTTATTGTTTCAACTGGATATTTCTTCTCTTGACAATCACATAGTTAGTTGCATATAATTATCTTGAATTACTCTACTTGCAGTGGTGATATTGTTTAGCTATTTTTTGGGGATTACTGCCAAATATATACAGCTTCATAGTCCCCAATTTATGATTAAATTTTTTTTTTTTTTAATTTTGACAACCCTTCATAATTTGAGGGTCAGGAATGCAAATATGTAATTAAAAAAAAATTATATGCTTGTTTAGAGAAAGCATGTTTTGTCTTATTACCAGTAAGCACTAAATAAGTAGCATATTTGAAGTCACCCTCTGGAACTATTAAGATTAACACTTAGTACTTGAAAATCTGATCATTAGAATAATAGTTATTCATGGTGATATCTTTTTTTGCTCACTGTACACACTGAAAGAAGAATCCCAAAACATTAAAAAAATAATATTTTTGCATATAAGTTTGCAGCTAAATTTTGCATACCAATTTAATAACTTTAATTAACCAAAGATGCTGACAAGTACAACAACTTTAGCTAATAATTTGAAATAATAATTAGAAAGAAAATCAATTATTACGATTAAACCAGTAATTTAATATAATAATTTAACTTAAAATCATATGATAAACAGTTTTAACATACAACATTTACTTACACATGTCTTTCATCTTTGAGTTTAGCATCACCTCTCGATTCCCTCAAATCCTTCTTTAATCTAATTTCTCTCACATCAGCCGACACAATGCGAATTTCTTCTTTACGATTATCTCTGTCTTTTTCTCGGTTGGGCTCGTCTCTATAGCGTACATTTCGACTATCACCTTCACGGTTGCTTTTTCGGTTGGAGTCTCTGACCCAAGTAGCAGTTCGATCTCTATGAGAACTCCTTTCGTGGCCGCGGTGGTGCTCCCGCCTTCGAGCTGTAAACAAGCATTTGCTTATTCTATATTATTAGTTCATAATTTAAAAGCAAAATGCTTCTTGAAACTTTATTAATGAACACTACTCCATCATGTACAAAACTGAAAGGCATTACCAAGACAATGAAAACTTTTAAAATAATTTCAATATTTTTATTATTCTTATTTGTTGCATTCCTTATATTATGTTTGCAAATTGGGCAAAATATGTTATGAGAAATCGAATACAATAAAATAAAGATTAAAATTATTTTCAGTATAATTTGAAACCTAACATTGATCAACTATTGAACACAGATAATAGTCAAGATTTATACCACAGAATCAGAACTTCAGTATATAAAGAATTTTTTTATTATTATTTCAATTACTGCTGAGTTTATATTATTTAGTATTATGGAAACACATTTTAAAATTATTATTTGAAACAAAATAATGATTTTTTCAGATATTTTTTAGTAATTCCACCTGAACCATATTAGTTTTAACCTAACATCAAGATTTGAAGATAAACAAATAATCAAGAACAAATAACCTGCAAAATTAGTTTGAGACTAAATAGAGCTGAAAGCTAGCAAACATCAGTGATGTAATCATTTAAATAATTGGAAAATAAATTATCTGCAGTTCTAAATGATGTGCAATGAGAAAAACTTGTTTTTCACTTGTCTCTTTCAAACTAACTTTTTTAGAATTTAGGCTAAACTGTTCCTTGCACATATTGTTCAGTATTCCAGTTTAAATTTTTCAGGAATTATAAGAGAGAAAAACAAATGCTCTTCCTTTAATTATAAATATGAGCATCTAATTCAGAGGTGCTAAAAACCCGTGCTTATTTCAGGAAAAAAAAAATACTGCTACTAATCTACTTCATACATTCAATTTCATAAAAACACTTATTTTCAAGGATTGTTATCATGTAATATTGATAAGAAAATCTTATCAACAACTCATCCATTGCAATAATCATATAACAGTTTATATTTACAAAACTGAGCTCAAAATAATTATAGATGTGACTTTAATAAATAGTAACTAAATCATCTTTAAAGTATCAAACAAGTGTAAAGCAGTTTGTAGTGTAGTGACAAATAAATTTGTCACTTCAGCTTTTAATATCGCAATATATTTTCAATAATCAAAAGTTAATCCATTTTGTTTTAGAATGTTAAATTGCTTATTGAAACCTTTTTTATGGACCGCTCTTAGTTAAATTTTATGAACATTTTTTTAAAATTTTTAAAATTTAACTAAGAAACTTTATGAACAAGAAAGAGAACATAAAATTTCTGCCAGACACATAACCGTTAATTAAAGACAACAATTTTGAACAACAATTTCGGCCTTATGGCCGAAATTGTTGAATATTTCTGACAAAAAACATTAAGCATTTCAAGCAGTGTCAATAATAAAATATAAATGATTAGGAAAATGAGAAAAAGATGGTGCTATTTCTGTTGTATCAAAACTTTTAAAAATAAATTAATTAATAAGTAGGAAAAAAAATCTTAGATGAGCATTAAATGTTTAGGCAATTTTAATAAATGTTAATGTTTGCTACTAATGTTACTTAATAATTAGTCTATTTTTTGCCAACTTCGAAATCAAATACAAATTGCATTAGTCAATTTTAAAACATATTTATTACATTGAATGAAATATAAATCATATATAGTATTGTGTTTTCCTCCAAGTTTGCTGTATCAGAAGCTGTTAATACTTACAATCGTGCTTTCTGTGTCTGTTTTTCTTTTTGTCTTCTTTTCTGGAACTTTCAGACTTGAGTGTTGCTTGAGGAGGTTTGATGTCAAGAGATTCTGCCCCTTCATCCTTTGAGCTTTCACTAATGCATTGGGAGAAAAAATAATTAAAATCTAATTAAATTTCCAGCAGGAAATATGTTGAGCTTGCAAATAACAAATAAATGAAATAATATTTTCATTTAAAGATGTAAAAATAATTTCTCATAGTCTTTCTCATAGTCACAAAATCAAAATAAGGGAGAAACACCATATATGAAGGGGGGGAAAATATGGCAAAGGATTTTTTTTTAAAAATTGAATAGGGATTTGTCAAAAAAAAAAATACAACACAAGAAAAAATATGTAATTTATACAGAAAAATATTTATTAATTAGAAGAATAAAAATAGACAAAAATCAAAAAATATGTTTAAATATCACAAAAGACAATATTAAAAACTAAATCTAATATTATATTAAAATCTTAATTTGAAATCTCTACTGAAATCTTCCTCAAAGCATTTTTAACTGTTGGCATTCAAAGCATTTTCATTAGAGAGAGAAGCTATATAATCAGTTTGATTTTTCTTCACTCGATTGAAGGTCTGTTCACATTCAGTATTTGAATGTTGCATCAGTAAGGATAGCTTAATGTCAGCCAATTTACTAAATTTCTTTTTCCCCAAAGGATGTTCAATTTGACTTACTAGAGAGCACTGTTTATCCATTCTACTTTTATCAATGTGATATTATGTTTTCCACCTGTTACTCGCAAAATTGTGAGTGAATCCCTTCTTTTGATTCACCTTCTTTGAGCATTAACGATACTGGAAATAACTCAAAGAAATTCTTTCCTTGACTAAAATCAACAGACGTAACTATGTCAGGATTTAAAATTTTGGCAAAATCAAAATTTTAAATGCACAACAATATCACCTCTTCCAACAAATGCACATTCATGGAGCGAAAAACAAAAACAATGATCTATACACGAATAAAAATGTCCCAGGTATCGTAACTACGCTTCAAACCTCTATTCTTGATAATTCGTCAAGCAGAAAGGAATTCAACGCAAAATCATTGCCCAAACCAGGATTTCATATTAGAATGAGCTCAATTCAATCTGGATCCATGGAGAGCATTTAAAAAGGTCATTCCTCATCTTGGATGAAGTTATCTCCTTCTCCCACTTTGGATAGCACTGACTTAGTTGAAGCAGAACCGGTTCAAGTTCACATTTTTAATATTTTTTTACTTGAAACCGATAATCGACAGCTTTTTTTAAAAGCTGCAGATGCAAGATCATCATTTGTATTAACGTTTTTTTCTCTCCAGAAAACAAGAATTTTCTTACTTCAATCTAATTATATTGTTAAGGATTTTTTAAATGGAATTCAGGAGATTCATAATCGCATAGCGAGTTTGGGAGAAGGCACCAGACTCGAGGAGTCTCCCGAATGAATCGAGAGAGTTCGCAGCTATGGTTTTGCAGATTTAAAACAATACAAGGATTTTGCTACAGGCTAATAATTAAAACTTGACTTTTTTTACATATTATTTTCAAAGCTTTCTAATTATGGAAAGAAATCTAGTAGCTTGACTTTATAAAACTCACTGAGCAATTAAACATAAAAAATTGTATAATTTCATTCATTAAACTTTTAAAATGCTTTTTTTTTTAATCTAAAAAGTCAAATTTGTAATAAATATTAAAGAAAAAAAAAACTATAGTTTATAGAGATGAACTCATCGAAATAGAAAAAAAAATTTCGTATTAACTCTGCATCATCATCCAGCCCAATTCTTTTAGTCTCTCTATGTTTTATTGGCCATGTTTCAGGAACCACCATTTAATTTGTCAGACAACCTGATATCCTTCTCTTCAATACCACAACCAATAACAGAATTATCAACTACGGTAGATTTAAAGTGCACCTTAAGACTACGAAACCAGAGATGTAGACTCTTAGACCAAATTGATTACCAATGCCTCTCTACCAGCAGAGATAACAACGCTCTAACTGTACGTGCCATTTTCTTGAAACCAACTTTTAAAGAAAATTAAAGTAGAAAAAAAGCGAATGCTGCTAAACGTGTTGTAGTATTACCTATCTTGATCATCTTGGTTATGAATTGATTCCTCTTTGGGTGAACTATCTTTTTCTATTTCTCCATCTTCCTCGGATTCAGAATTTTCAGTCAGAGGGATGGTTCTCAAATTGTCGTGATAAGCCATCTAAAGAAATTTCATGGATGAGTCATTCGTAATTGATCCATTGAAAATAAACATTAAAACACTTACATGAATATAAATGAAGAAAATTAGATTCATTTTCTAAATACAGAGTTTTTAGATATGCATGAGTAACGTCATTAATGTTTCCTTATCTTTTTTTAGTATTTTAGAAGAATTAGAAGGTTAGATAAGATTCATTAAAAGTATTATTAGAAGTTTTTCTTTTTTAGTAATTTAGTTCAAAAAAAACTTTGTTGACAAAATTACTTTAGTTTATGTGAAATCACTTTAAAATCATATATTAAAAGAATTGAAATTAAAAGCAAAAAATTTCAAATTGATTTTGCTGCAATAAATTTGAAGTAATTATACAGTCATTGTTTCAGAAGTATAATTTTTGATGTATCTGTAGAAAAACTACAGCTAAAATGTAAAACCAATAGACTCTTCCGGCAATCAAATAGTTTCGATAATATCAAGCTGGCGTTCCTTCTTAGTAACTCTTCAACTTTTTATAAAGTTTTTGTTTCTTTTTATTGTAGATTGATTTCCAACGATTACTTTTAATTAGATTTTCATAAGAACAGAGATAACGCACATTGCACCAAAGAAAAAAAAAAACGGTTACCCTAAATAACTTTTGATTTAATGACTAGATTTTCACGATCTAGGAATTAATCTGAATGGCTCGAGGGGGTGACCTCAAATATGATATAAGTGCAGACTATATTTTAAGTTATGAAATCAGACACAAAAAGGTACCTTCTCTAAATAAACATACATTTTTTTCAACATATTCGGCTTTCTGACCCCCAAAATAAAGGGGCAGCCATAATTTGGGAAACATGGTCCCAATAGTTTGGTCAGGAGAGCGCTCCTAAGTTTAAAACCCTTATTGTTAATTTTATTTTTTGCACATTTCATAATATCTTGAGAACTTTTTAAACAAATTGTAAAATTTTTACACAAAATTATAAAATTTGTCTATCCAAAGATTCATAAGATCTCCATGCAAAAAATAATGTTTAGTAAATATTTATTATTTTATTTAAGATTTTGTATTGTAAGATACAAAATTTTTTGCACAATTTTAAAGAATGTTATTTTATACGGCAAAATATAAAATTTGTGCCAAATCAGTAGAATAATTTCTGAGAATTTAAAAAAAAGTCAGATACTTAAAAGTTCTATTTCTCATGAACCGCTTTGGCTCAACTTTTGTATTTTGTCATTTAAAATTATATTACTTAAAATCAGGGTTTGTGATTTTTTTGATTTTTATTAAAAGAATCAAAAAAATCGGATTTTTTTGATTTAAATCGGATTTTTTTGATTTAAATCAGATTTTTTTGATTTTTACTCAAATACACTGTAAGAACTTTAATTTATGATTGAAAAAACTTTATAAATGCTTAATCAAAATTAAATTAATATTAAAACTATAGTATAACAATATTTTAACTTACTAAAATAATTTTTCATTATAATACATAGCTTTGAATGCATAGCAACCATTTTGAAACAAATGCATGATTGAAATTTAAGGACTAGTTCAAATAGAAAATTTAAAGAATACTTTATGGGTCTGTCTAGGTTTTTCTGAAAGATAACTCTTTTGTGAAAATGCAGACATAATTTTTGAAAATTAAAAATTTGGATTTATCGTTTCTTACGAGACACAAAAATAAAATTTTGAGAAAAAAGTATTTCATGGAATTGTTCTACCGTTTTCCCTAAAGTTAAATTTGTGTAGGTACCGGTAAACGGTAGTAAATTTCACTTGGACAGACCCCTGTACTTTAACTATTAAAACAAAGTTTCAGGAAGCAAACCATAATTTTAATTTAAAATTTCTTTTTTTTTCCCGCTTAATTTTTAAAATGACAAAATAAATGTAACAGATTGTGTTCATAAATGTAGTCATTCATCAAAAAATAAATATTTAATCTACATATTTTTATATTAAAATATTCACTTTTAATTCTATATCAAAATAGATAAGTTAAGCTAAAAATATATTTTTTTTAAAAATCTATGTACTCATAGGAATTTTTTTCACAAATTTCTTTATAAGAAAATCAGATGTCAAAGATACTGTAAACATTATGAGAAAAAATACCAGTTAATAACCCTACTGTTTCAAATAGACTTTGAAAGGGAAGAATGACACTATATCAGGGAAAAAATATCTGAATTTATTGGCCTTTTTTTTTCTTTCTATTTTTGGCAAATTAGGTATTTTCTTTTTAATATGCTTTTAAAAAAGCTTCAGAAATATACATTTTCCACCAATAAAATATAATGTAGATTTTAATTCCATGCTTTTTCTTTCAAAGGGTAGAATTTTAATTAACAATATTTACATTATTTTTTGAAACAATTCATGTTTAATAATTACTTTCTACAGCTATGCAAGTCTATATTAAGACAGCATTAAATGTTTACTTTAATCTGTGCTTTCAATCTCAAGAATCAAAAGATTTTTAAAAATGTAATTTTCAATGTGTTGGAATTTAACACACACCAAGAAAGAAAGTAATTTCGTTAACTAAAATTAATTAATGCAACAATTTATTTAAAATAAATTTTGAAACTAAGAAAAGAAAATAATAAAAGTATCAATAATTTAAAACACTGTTTTTTAACTTTTATAATCAATATATATAAAATAAAAAAAATTGATTTAAATCAATGATTTTTTAAAAAAAAATCATTTGATTTAAATCATGATTTAAATCGTGATTTAAATCAAGCTGATTTAAATCAACAAACCCTGCTTAAAATGATGCAAAAAATAAAAATATCTAAATAATCTGTGTATTATTAAAGTTAAATCACATTTAATCAACCTAAGAACATTTTAAAAACAAATATGTAATAAACAATTATAACACAATATATTAGTATATAACACGGTATAAACAATTATAACACAATAAATAGCATCAGTTAAAAAAGTTAAAGGGAAACCTTAAAATATATATATAGTATAATTAATCCATATCTAATAAAAGTTAAATCTAACAGAATTAACTAAAAAATAATGCTTTTTACAAAGGAACTAGCTAAAATAAATAAATAAACAACAAAAATATTTAATCCTTTGCCATAAAAAATAATAAATTATCCTAAAATAATAAACAAAACTGCAAGAAAACAAAAAAAGAGGAAAAGATTTATTAATAAAATAAAAATAAAATAAAAGGACAACTTTTAAAAAACTAAGTCCTACTAAAAAAATAATAATAAAAAATTTACATAATTAAAAGGTACTGTACAAATAATTTCTTTTTTATAGCAATTAAATCTTTCTAAGAATAGAAGAAAAAAAACAAGAACCATCTCACTATTAATATTTTCAATTTTTTTTAAAAAAAGTGCCATAAATAAGATGGAGAGATAGATAAAAAATAATTAAAAAAATATATTTTTAATAATAAATACCAAACCATGGACCTCATTAGTAGGGGAGATGAAGGGTATATGTTGCTCTCAGCTTTAAAAATAAGAAATTGTGGAAAGACCCCCTCCAATATTTTAGACATATAAAAAAGAAATTTATAAATCATGATTGATTCAAATTCAACAAAGTTAAAAACCAAAACGAGAAAAAATAATTAATATTTTTGTAAATATAAAAAAAAAAATTTTTTTTAAGTTTGAAATATAGAAAACAGTACATTTTAATTTTGTTTTCCACAAAAATTGGACCTCTTTTTAACCCATGAACCAAACCAACACAAAAAGAAACTAACAAATATACCAGCAATCGAAATTTAAATGAAGTGAAGCCAAATTATAATAATTTATAAAATAAAACCAAATTATAATAAACTATAGATTTTTTAAAATCACCAAATTAACTAATATAAATCAAAAATAATGTTTCAAAAATGCAATATATATTCTTTCCTAATTATATGAAAAAAAGAAAGCAATAACAACAAGGAAAACTTATAAGCAAATTACATAAAAACTACACTTAAAATTACCAAATAGGAAGGTTCATTAAAAGAAGCCCTAAGAAAAATATTAAACGAACAAGGCAAAATATAAAAAGATCAACTGAATTTCTTAAAAAAAATCATTATTTAAAAATTAATAAAGGAGAGGAATTAATTTAATGAATATGAAATAAATTTATTGTTAATAAAAAAAACTCAAAACAAAATGGAATCAGAAATGTATCACTAGTAAAAAGAGAAAACTATAATGTACTTCATAAATAATCATCGGCTTTTAGTAATAAATAATCAAATACTTATATTAATAAACAATATTCTTTTATCTCTTTATAAAGGCAGACGACTCTTAAAGTAAACAGGTGCGATCTCACATCAGACAAAGCTTTCAAATCTGAGGCATATGTCAGAATTTATTTAAATAAAAAATACTGCTTTTTTAAAAAAAAAATAGATATTAAATAAATAAACAAAGAAGATTATCAAAATATCTTATAAAACATCAATAATAACGTAATTTGAGAAACAAAAGTGAGTTGGAAAAAAAACCTGTTAACACTCTCAAGGCAGAAGCTACAAGTTCCTGAAATAACACATTCAAATGCTAACACTCATCTTTAGAAACACATAAGAATAATAGAAGAATCTTGATGGTACACCTAATGACGGTCAATCCAGCAAAAAATCTGATCATTTTTCTTAATACTTTATTTGGCAAATTATGGTGTTGGAAACAAAAGAGTGAAGTTCCACAATATGATAGGGTGTCTAACTTTCTGTCGATTTTCAGTTTTGGGAAGAAATTTTTTTTCTTCTTGAATCTCATCTTCGGTGACAGTTACCAATTTTCCTTGTACGAACCTTGATTATATAACCGAGAGGGCTAATCTTATTAGTGACTGAACAGTGGTTCGAATTCAGCATTGACACCACTATAGTATTTCTAACATTCTTTCAACCCGTAAAATCTTTCAAGTGTTCAGCACTTCACAGTAGATGGCCTATTAGAATATGAAATTCTCATTCACACCTAAATGGCAGCACCACAGGGCTGCATAACATAAAAAAGTGCAGTATTTCCCATCTTTCATGATAGATGTCGCAAGATTTAAGCCACAATTCCGTAGTTTTATTTGACAAAACTCAACCACAACCAAACTTCTATGCCCCTTACCTAGTGAAAAGCCTAACACAACCTAATCCCAGCAGGAATATAATTAAACATCTACTGCATAATTTATGCTAATGTAACTGCATATTTACTGTAGAGTCGGGACAAATCACAATAAGGTAATCTTTTCCACATCGCAAAATCTTAATGAAGAGAAATTTGATTAATTAATAAACTTATAGACAAGACGAAAAACAATATTTTATTCCATCCGAGTAGATTATAAATAAGAAATGCGTCTTTTTCTATGCTATAGCGTAGAAAGAAGTGCATTACTTCTTTATAACATGGAGATTTCTGTATCATAATTTGTGGCAGAATAATCACCCAATCTGGGCAACTTCCGGGCAGTGGCCCGTAAGAAACCAATAAAAATATTACAGAAAGGGACCAACTCGAAAGGTTTAACTCGTAGCAAACACATACATGTGTTCTTTTTAAAAAAATTGCAAGTTTAAAATCTGTTTGGCACCTTGACGATTGTATGCTAGTTGGGGCAACAGATCCCGATACTGAAATATCATCTTTAATGCCTAGTATTTAAAAAAAATTTACATTATTTTTTTTAAAAGTTTGATCAAACAAAAGAAAACTGATTCAATGTTAAGAATACAAAACGACATAAAATTGTTAAATTAAGATCAAATAATAAAAAAATTATTTTTGACTATACTAGACAAATACTTCAAACAAAAAAAAAAATTGAGACGATCAAACAAAATTATTAAATACACTGAAAAAACAAAATAAAAATATTGAACACAATCGTACTATGATTCGCAGTCAAAATCCTTCTACTTCACAAAATATTCATATTTCGGAGTTTTTTAAACGTAAGGGTTATTGCAGCAATATTGCGTTAGAATCTGAAACCGTCTCACTCTTTGTATGAATTTTTCTATGTATCAAAAAAATTAAATACTTTCTAAGATTTAATCAAACCAAATCAATCTGTAGTTGAGGTAGTAAACAAACAAAAACAAGCGGCAGCATGACATCACAGTCACAGTTAATTTCATGCTCATGTTAAATTAAAAATATTTAATAAATATATATTAAATCGCACTGTCTTGGCTGACCGCCCTCTTATAACCCTAAACTTTGGCGATCAGCTGAAATGGGTGATTGCCAAACGAAATCTATCGCCAACTGCTTGGATGCCCGCTTTNTCGATCCGTGACACACTGTGTATGATTTATCACAAATGCTTTAAAAGATCCAGGAGAACCTAAACATTTACAACTATATTTTTTCGTAATATTCGTCCTCTAGAATTTAAAGTTGACAAAAATTCAATTAAATATAAGCTTAAATTCTTTTACTGTGAAAACTTTTTTACGAAATAGATTATACAAAAACTTGCTTTAAACAAGATGTTTATTTGATACAAATTACGTTTTGTAGAAAGCCGGGAAGTTCTGTGTTTATATAGAGGTTCCAGTTGCGTAACAAAATTTGAAAGTTTAAATATATAAATAAAGCTGATTAATTTTAAATCATTTGTTGAATCGAATATCTAGTAAACAAAGTTGTGTTTAAATTACTCTTTTTTTCAACTCCAACAATTTTGGCAGGAGCCGCCCCTATTTGCTGCCGCTCACCAGCCCCCATGATTACTTCGCAACCATCGTCGTTTCTTTTTGCGAAACAGATCGTTTTCCCAGATCTGAAGGTACTCACTTAATGTAAATATATTCTCTCCTTCGTTTAACCCTCTAACTACAATTCCCCAAAGATTTGTTTTGTGATTATTATTGCGATCCCTTTGTTTCCTAATCACTTCATTCTAACGCCACTTTCGTAAAATTATTTATATTTTCTGACATAATAAATTTAATGAATTTTACTGATAGTGATTTATAATTTCATTTACTTAAATACCTAAAAGTAGTCTAACTGCATACATTAATATTCAAAATAAATACCAGCTTACGAATTTAGCATAATTTTTAAAGAAACAAGCCTTTTTATAAGAATTCTAAACTTTTCTTGGATTACATAAATAATATTTTCATTTTAAAACAATTAGCACATTAATTTAAAAATATCACATACTATGTAGCCTTTAATGATAATTTTTATATCAAATAAAATTCGAACCATTAAGGGACAAAAATTCGCCAAATTAACTGTAACAGATTTTTTTCCTTTCCTGCAGAATATTATCATTTAAAAATATATTATTTATTTTCTTCAAAAATTCAAAAGCAACAAAATAATAGGTAATGCCAGAGAGACATCTATTTGTATGCGGGTGGACGAAATTCAGCGAAATAACAAATCA